GTATGACCCCTATGCGACACCAAATCAACCAAAGCAACCAAATAAACAAAGGCCCTTAGAAACAATAACCTTCCCGTTTTGAGCACGGGGACGGCTCCGGCTCAACGGCTCAGCACGTCAACCGTGAAAACCGCGGCTCCAGGCCAACCCGAGGCCTTCAGCAGGACGTGCTCGAAGAGGCCCTCCCGCAGCTGGTCCATGGCCGCCCGCAGCACAACTGCCGAGCCCCCACCCCAAGCCTCGCCCTGCGCGAAGATGCACAGAGCCACGGCCAGGTCCTCGAGCACTCGGAGGCGCGAGAGAGGCACCGACGCTGTGTTGGAGCTGTGTAGAACAGATATGTACTAGTATATACATATATATGATAGAAAATAAGAATGATAAGAATGATAAGAAGAAGAAGAAAAAGAAGAAGAAGAATAATGAAAATAACAATTTCTGTATGTATCTATATACTTAGTATATGTATATATATATAGATATATATATATATATATATTTGTGTGTATCAAACTATTTCAAGAAGCAAAAGCAAAACCAACAACCAAGAACTTGGATTTGACGAAAGCGAACCGAGGGCCGATGTTGTTTTCGACCCGTGCGCCTTCTCCAGCTCCCGGGCGTTGGTTTCCAGCTTCGCCAGGCACGCGGCAAGTGCTGCCTACGGGCGGCTCGGAGGGGTGCGAGATCCGTTAGGCACCACCGAAATCGGACACCAACGAAATTTCTCGGTGGCAGAAGAAGTTTAAAACTTTTAGTGGTATGGACAACCCATTGGTTGGCAACTTGCTATTCAGTCCCAACATCCCTGGGCAAAATGCAACAACGGAATGATGGTTCGCTTCCCCAACGTAAATAGCAACGAACGGTATTGTTTCAACCATGGGGCTCATTTCGTGGCGCGAAATGGATTTTGTCCGTCCACAGTAGGTTGGACCCGCAATTGGCGCACAGGTGCTTCCTGAGGGCCCAAGCTGCTTGGCTTGCACATCACAGAGCAGCCGATTGAAAAGCGAGGCTCCGAGATTGACACATACTTGTCCCAAGGTGCTCCTTTTGGTTTCCCTGTACCAGCCCCAACAATTGGTATCCAAAAGAAAACGCCACAGGAAAAAAGGAAAAAACACATGGGTGGCGCGTCCTGTTTTAAGGCTCAGTACCCCCCCTTTTTTTGTGGGTGTTCAGGGGAAACCGAGAGGAAACCAAGAGGAAACCGACCATGTTGGGGGGGGGGGTCCTGCAAAAGAGACGCACCAATGTGTCAAAATAGGGGGATCCGCTAAATGGTGTTCCTTCTTTCCCGATACAAACCACCCCCCCAAACAAGATACCGAGCCTCGACAGAAAACGACCAGGGTCCGTGCCCTTCAAGGACACTTTGCGAGATGGCGTAACGCCTCAGCTCGATAAACACATGATGCCGCCTCTGCCTCTCGTTAAAGACATGGGGGTTGATAACGTGGTCCCTTACATGGGATGAAACCACCAAGAAAGGCGATACTTCTCCCACGAAACTCGGAAAAAGTGATCCATGCTGAAAAAAGGCGGGGGCGCCTTTCTTTGGGTTGGGAGGTATGTGCCTCCCCCCCCCCCACGCGCCTGGAAGTGGCTGCGGTAGAGCTCGAAGGGCAGGAACCGGAAGGCCGCGCACAGCAGGCCCAACGCCGCCCCAGCAGAGGGCCGCTGCCGCAAGGCCTCCAGCGGGCGGACGCCGCGGAGTCGCCGGGGGGGAGGGGCGGGGAAGAGCCGTTGCCAGGTCTACCCACAAGCATGCAAGGGCAAGGGCACTCTCCCTAGCCTTTCTATCTGGATAAGATAGGCTTTGAGAATTCCAGTGGCTCCACTCAGAAACCCCCCAGAACCCGCCGAGCGAGAACCGCCAAGCATGTCGACACTTCCGCCTGCTGGAATCGCTCGAAGATGCTGGGCATGGCCTGCTGCAGCAAGGAGTGGAAGATCCCGACCTCACAGCTACCATCGCTTTGGGAGGTGGCGAAAACTTTGCCTTGGGAAGTGGGTGTGGCTGAAAAATAGGTTAAGAGCCGCAGGTTTTCTTTCGGCTTTTGTCCATTTCATTTTCCGGGGGAGCCATTTTGGGCAACGATGTTCCCATTGTTCAGCCACCAAATGGCTGTGGGTCAAAATCCCGGTTGTCCGCAGGTGAACATCCCAATCCCCACTATAGACTAAAATGGGTGGTGCACCTATCCCAAAATGGGATCCCAAAACGGTGTTGACAACCACTGCCATTTGTGTTATGATGTCCACGATGAGCTTCTTTGTCTACTAAAGGGTCCATCTCAAATCAACATTCACACATGGCAATCCCTGAATGGTTGAGGAGAAACTCGCAGGACAGTTTCCATTCTGAGTGATCCCAACGCCCCAAACGTCTCGAAAATGAGTCGGGATCCAAGTCGCCTTGGCGAAGAAAGCCCGCAGCAGCCGCACCAGCCCCGCCACCAACCCGGCCTTGAGCGCATATGTCTGTCTGGAAGGGGCATTCCCCCAAACCAGTGGTGTCCCTTTCCTCGGCTGCTTTCTGCTCCCCTGCTAAACCTTTAACTTCTAGTGGTTTATTGGAAAACCCGTTAGCTGGCAAAAAGTGATTCAGTCCTAACATTCCTGGGCAAAATGACCAAAGTGTCCCAGGTTCACCCAGCCCATTCGACCCCCAGCCCGCGCCTGCCAGAGTTCCGGCGCCAGCAGCTTCGGCAGCAGCTCCCCGTAGAAACTCGCCACGGAGTTTGCCGGCGCCAGACTGAGCAACCGCCGAGAAACCCCCACGCGCGTTCGCGACGGAACTCGCGGGACACTCGCGACTCGCGCGCGGAGAGTCGCGGGTTTTCCATAAAGCAGCGCATCCGCAGCGGCGGTTAAGCAGGAAAATATGGATTCAGCGGCCATCTCCATACATGTGTGTGTGTGTGTGCGCGTGCGTGTTTTAGGGCACCCTCCCCCCTTCGAAACAGCAAAGCTGGTTTGCTCAGGATATTTGGACACAACCAAAAGGAGGAGATGATGAGTGCAACTGCCAGCCCCAGTGGCAGTCTTCCAAAGCAAGTACCCTCTCTCCACTAACATAGCACCTCACAGAGGGTCGCTTCAAGAGGAAATCTTCCAGGTGCCCTCCTGCAGGTGCTATGGCAACGTGGGAGGGTAATACTGTGACGAGCTGCTCCAGCATCAAGCCCATAATCTGGTAGCAGTATGGCAGCAGGTCATCTGCCTGCCGAACCCGAAACATCCCTTGGCCCATGGGTGACACGTAGCCAACGAAAAGAGCTGCATTGGGGGGTTGACAAAAGGTCCATGATACAGGGATGACCATGAGAAACCACCACTCTAAATGGGAAAAGTCACCCATGGTCACTTGGTGGCAGAACGGAATATTGATGAACCCCCATTTGCTCTCGCAAGTGGCTAGAGCCCCAAAAAGGTGCCAGTACTTCGGTATCGATGCTTCCATGAGACAACTCGATGGCATTTTGCTCGGGCCGTCCCCTCCTGCATCACCCAGAGCTGCTGCACCATTGGCAGCACCACCTAGGCAACGCCCGCGGCCGCGAACTGCCAGGCACTTGTTGCTCAAATCTTTGACCATTTCCAGCAACAAGTTGCCGCTCAGGAGAGAGACACCACCCACACAGAGTTCAACCGCTCCCATCTCCAACTAGAAACTCGTCTCCTCGCACCCACTTGCCCCTTCTCCGAGTCCGGCAGGGCAACCCCCTAAAAAGGCCCCCGAAGGCGCGCTTTAGAGGCGGGGCCTCGCTCTCTCCCTCTCTCTCCGCCACCCCCAAAGCCGCGATCCGATCTCCGCCGAAGGGCGCTCTCGGTGCTCTGCTGTCCTCGGTGGCTTTCTGCTCCTTTAACGTTTGGTGGTTTAATGGAAAACCCATTTGTTGGCGAAAAATGCCCAAATGCCATGGGTCAAAACCCCGATTATCCCCCAGTGAACATCCCAATCCAACCACTAAAATAGGTCCTAAAATGGGTGGTGAATTCACCTACCAACCAAAATGGGATCCCAAAACGGTTTTGAACCATGGCCAAATGGCTTGGACCATTTTTCGATACCGGGTTTTTCAAACATCAACCAAACCATCAACCAAACCACCAAAGAAACATGCGCCAAAGTGTCTGCTGGCACAGGACTTCAGCGCCAGTGCCAGGCACTCGAAGAGGCCGTGGGTGTAGTCCGCGCTGATGGGCCGCTGCGAGGCCAGCTGTGCCAAGGACTGCAGCGCCGTGGTCGCCAGAGCCGGCGGCAGGTCGGCGCCTGAGAAATTGCCGGCGGCGGTCTGGCTGGGACGCCAGCGTCCCAATGGCATCTAGAACACTTAAATAGCTGTAATGTCTGGGGCAAATGGGTGTAAACTTTGTTTTTGAGGGAAAACCCATCCTCAAATGGCCTTGGTTGTCCATGTCATTTCCCGTTAAAAAGGGCAAAAAAGGGGCACCAACTCAAAAAAAGGAGGAACAGAGGAGCCACATCCTTATGCGACTGCCACCTGTGCATGATAATCCTTGCCAAGCCCCCAGCCTAAGAAGGTGAGCCAGGAAGACAGCGCCCGGACCAGGTGCACATTCTGCGGCACGCTGCGGCCCTCACGCAGGCGGACAAGGGCCCCAGACCCCACAACGTCTTCAATCGGCGAAGAACTTAAAAAAAGAACAGCACGAAACTCGGCCAAAACAATTCAAGGAACTGAGCGGCTCAAAACCAATGGGATCCCATTTTGGGGTAGATGAATTCACCACCCATTTTAGAACCTATTTTAGTGGTTGGATTGTTCACCGGGGGAAAACCGATTTGGATTTTGACCCATGGCCATTTCCTCTCCGTCCTAAAACAAAAAAAACCGACCTCCACCAGGATCCGCAACAAGGTGGGCAGCATCTGTTGCAGAACCGGGCCCAGCTGCTCGCGCCCGAAGCGCGGCCGCGACGCTCCTGGCGACGTTCGGACCGCAAGCCGGCGGCTCCATCCCGGCCCAACAGAATTCCCAGGCCCCCGAGCCAACACCCGGCAGCCCGGCAGCAGCATGCACGCGCGCTCTCAATGCCCAAGCCAGCGGCCTCCCCGAAATGCCCGGACGCCCGGACGCGTCGTTCCCGCTCAAGCTGTGCATCTTTGGTAGCTCAGCCGCAATTAAGTCGCAATCAAAACCTGGTACTAAAATGGTCGACCCAGAACCACATGTACAGGATTAAGAAGGCGGATATCCCTGCGGATATCCGCTGCTATTTATGATTGGGATCGTTCCTGACTAACCTTCATCTACCCGGGTTTTGATTGGCTCAACTGGAGCTCGGGCCTTCCACCTTCTCCTGCACAGTGGTGAGCACATTGCCGCAGATGGCGGCGTAGGTGTGCAGCAGCGGGTGCTCCGCTTGCATGAGCGTGGGCAGTATCGGCACCACACCCAGCACCAGCTTGGCCTACGGGGTGCACACCGAAAAGTGGCAATTGTTCCGAAGGTGCCCAACTAATGTTGACCCCTGATTCACAACCCCCCCCACTTGTTGTTAAGGGGGGTGCCTCTTTTTCAGTGCGGATTCCTTTCTTCCAGGGGGATTTGTTGCATTCACAATCCAGGGGCTATCAATTAATTGGCGGCCGATATTACAAGCCAATTGAGTCAATACAGAGTAAGGCGGCTGCACTTCATCCCACCCGAATTGGTTTGAGGGCGTGGCTCAATTGAGCCACAATCAAAACCCGGGTAGATGAAGGTTTGTAAGGGACAATCCCAACCATAGCTGCGGACATCCGCCTTCTTAATTCTTGAAGCACGGTTCTGGGTCGACCATTTTAGTGCCGGGTTTGGATTGCGACTCAACTTTTGTTTTCCATCCTCAGCTCGTGTTTTCGACTGCACAGATCCAAGGTAATAGGAAAAAACGGGCCTTTCCACTCGTCCCTCAAGCGGAGCGATCGGACTTTTCCTCGACTATGACTCAATTGGGCGCAATCTTTCCACGCATGCCAGGTGCAGCAGGGCAGCCGGCAGGACGTTTCGCAGCACCGTCAGGAACTTCAGGCAGGCAGCCTTGAAGAGCACAGCCTCCACCGACGTGCCTGCCGCAAGCTGTGCTCATTGCTGTGCTCATGAAAAATTGCTCATTGCTCTCTCTTTGTTTTTGAGGGGGACCCCCCCAAAATGGTCCTTTTCCGTTTGGTTTCCATGTGCAACCATAAAAAAGATGCACCGAGCCTCAACAACGACACACCCTTCTATCTTTCTCGTTTTCCCTCCCTGCACGCGGCTTTAGAGACCCCCCCCAACACAAGCAAGCAGAAGCGCTTTTCCTTTGCCTTCCCTTTAAAACCCAAAAAGAAAAAAGAACAGAAAAAACCGGGCGAACCCGCCGCCTCCCCCAAAAAAAAAGGCCGCCGCCCCCCCCCCCCCCTGTTTCCCCGGCCTCGCGGCGCCTCGCGCACGGCCAGGAGCTCGGGGCCCAGCTGGTGCTTGAAGAACTCCCCGGCGAGGCCCCCGGGGCCGATGCTTTTGCCGCTGCCGGCCATGGAGATCACCAGGTGCACGCAGGCCTCAAGCGACTGCAACGAGCCGAGCCCAGCAGCTGTAGACGAGTCCGGCGAGAGATCAAGATGCCGTAAACGCTGGGGAGTTGAGAACTCGAGGGTGGTTGGTTGGGAAGGATGGAATGAACTGTTTGGGGGATTCCGGAATAAAGGAAACCGAAGATAGTTTATCTGTTTCTCATTCCCTGCCTATCGCACCAGCAAATAAAGCAACGAGTCCGGCCAATCCTGTAGTTACTTTTAGTCACTTTCTTTTCGGGGACCCACTAAAGTCCACTCTAGGGTTTCCCCCTTTTAAACCAAGCACCCCGAAGAACCAAGCACCCACAAGAAAAATGACGTGTTCCATGAGTCTACGCGCACCCCGAACTTCTTTCGGACGCGAGTTCCGCCGGGCCGCGTGCTTGCAAATGGCAGCCCGCTGGGGGTCACCCACATTGGCCTCCTGCAGCAGTTGGCCCACGCAGGACACCACGATCTCCTCAGCGTGTGAGGCGGGTCCGGACAGATTCGATGGCCACCGCACACTCCAAACAGATCAAGTGCGACCAAGACCCGTTCACTTTGGGTACCAACATGGGTATCGGTATAAAGGTTTATAGAATATAGGGATGACTATAGTCTTTAGTGCTCTCCCATGGACAGGATCGTCACGATAAAACGATACGCAAACCTGAAACTGAGGCCGGCGCACAAATCTCCTTGTCGTGATGCCGTCGAAGCGACCGCATCAGCTCGATGGCCACCCATCGCCGTGTCTGGATGTCGTTGCCCTCCACATCGCGAGCAATGTATTCCTGCACCAAATGGGGGCTGATCAAAAGGTCCGTGACACATGGGCTGACCATTGGAAAGCCACTAAACAGATTCGATATGGCCACCAAATGGAAAGGTTACCCATGGTCACTTAGGGGCCTTGCTTGGTATACTGATCAACCTCCAGGTCTACACTCCTGTAGGTCTTCGTGGAAGAGCTCCAGGTCGCTGGCCCGCAGCTTGATGTTGGGCAGTACCACGCGCTCGCACACTGCCGCCAAGACCTAAAACAACAGCTTATTTTGTTGCGTTTATATATATATAGCGGGAAAACTCCTTAGACAATATGGTACCCTGTTTTGTAAAGCCCCAGTGCGCATTTTGAATAAAAACCCAGCGACTTTTCAGGATCCTCGTTACGATTTCGGCCGGGCGCCCTCACCCTCGCCCTGCTCGCCATTCCGTCCAAGGCGCCTTGGGATCCTTGAAAGGCGGGGCCTGCCAGTCCTGGATCGCAGCCTCGACTGAAAGTGCATGTCAGCCTCTTCTGTCTTTCGACTTTGGTACTGGCCACACATTTGAAGTCATAATTTAACTTGGGTGTGTCTCAACAGGGAGCGGGAGCCCCGAAATGGTGCACCCGACAACCGCGCCAGGCAGCACAAGACAACACGGCGACGCCCGCAACCACCAGCGGGTCGTTGCTGGGGCTGTCGTCCAGCGAGGTCAGCAAAGTCCAGGCTGCCTAGCAGAAGGGGCCACAATGACTTGAACCCGGTGGGTACCCCAAAAGGGAACCCCTGAGGTTTGAGTCTATTTGCAGGTCCACAAAATCGGACCCTACCTACGGAGAAAAAAGAATGCGGCTCCCGCGGATGTCTCGCTCAAAACATTGGCGTGGCGATCCAACAAATCGCGGTCAGAAGGAGACTATCAAAAAAGGCGATTCGCCAAAAGGCGAAAAACTGATTTGCCACATGCGTCGTTGGTCCGGGGTCTTTTCAAAACCGAAAAGAATTTGGGCGCCGTGCCGCGCAAACGCAACAAGAGCATCCCGCACCTCCATGGTGCGGCCAACGTAGCTCTCTAGCAGTTCCTTGTGGTGGGTCAGCCACCTACCGGATCTGCGGGTCTCTGCTTTTAGACCCCAAAAATTCCTGTTGCCACCCAACACGGCAACCACCTCCAAAAACAGGAACCACACCGGTTTTGAGCCAGTGGCTCAAAAAAATCACAAGTCTTGTGCCTGCCACGTGGGGTCCCCCCAAGAATGGCGCAACGGCGTTCCTTTTGGCTTACCTTCAACCCCCCCCCCCGGAAGGAAAACAAAAAAAAACGGGTGCCTTCAAAAAGACAAACGATATCCAAAACATGGGCTGGTCCTGTTGTTTCCCTTGAAAACCCAGAAAAGGAACAGGGCCACCGGTGGCCTACCATGTCCTGACAAAACTCCTAGCTCCAAGATGCCCCTCCTTAAAGCAAACTTGGGTACCCCCAGCTCCCAACAAAACCGACCGCCCGGTTTCCCTGTACAACCCAGCAACGAATGCCAGCACCCCTCAAACTCTCAAAAAAAAAAAATGTCTCTTCCCATTACACAAACAACTCGCGGGTCGGCTCAACAAAAAAAAACTCACGTCCCCCCCTCGCATAGGTCTCCTTTTTGGTTGAAAATAGCTGGCCCTGGTAGTTGATTGAACCACCAACCAGGAATCGCCCAAACTATTTTCCACCAAATCAACCAAAAAGGACACCTATGGCCTATGACCCCCGATTTTCCAACCAAATCCACCAAAAAAGACACCTACGACCCCCCGGTTCTCAACACACAAAAAAAACTCTCTCCGAGCAGCGCGCACAGCAGGCTGCAGAGCTCCTGCCGCAACTCCGAGGTCACCGGCCGCGCCAGCACCGCCAGCACCCCCTGGAGATTCGGAGAGTCCGGGCGTTGCACATAGCCCGACCGAAATTTCGACCAAAGGGTGTATCAATCCATCAACAGGACATTGCAAGGGATCTCAATAGTTTGGCTGACTCAAGTTTGCTTCCAGGGGTGCTTGTACCCGGTCACGTCGAACAGTTCCGCAGTCACGTGCGAAGAAGTGCACGGGATACGCCCATGTTGAACCTTCTTTTCTTTCTTAGAGATCTTGGGCCAACCCAAGGATCCAGAGGGCTTGTACACATACCCCTCGGGCAAATCAGTCAAAAGCAAAACCGATCGGTACGAAAATGGTGAACCCACAAGAATTAGAAAGGCGGCCGCAACTATTTCCGGCTGGGACTGCCCCTTACCTTCATCTACCCAGGTTTTGATTGTGGCTCAAGCCCTGCGGATGTTCATACCCTCTCCCCGAAAGTGGCTTGGAAACCAGGGAAGCAAAGGGGTATGAACAAGGGGTATGTACTTCCACCCTTAGAGAGATGGGGAGAGAGAACTTCCCGCCGGGAAGAAAAATGTTCCGCACCGCCCACAGCTTGCCGCCAACAAGGGGTGCACCGCTTCTTCCGGGGCACTTGAAAGGACCGCGAAAATGCAAATCGCCATCTGGGGGGCCGTTGCTTTTTTCAACAGAAACACGTGTGCTGCCCGTAGCTGGAAGCTATGGGGTCGATAGGCCCAGAAACCGGCGTGGCGTTCGGGTGGTTTGGGGGGGTTCCGTTCGGGGCTGGGGATATGACAAAGGCTTATGTAGTACCTTGGGTCGAAAAAAAAGGGTTGGTCTCAGTACTATACCTGCAATCGGCCTGCATGTAGATGTCCAAATGTTGCCGGAAGTGCTCCGGCATCGCGATTTTCGTCAGGTCGTGCAAGACCTGAAGGCGCCAAACTCTTTTGCTTTCTGCTCCCCTGCTAAAAGTTTTAAACTTTTAGTGGTTTAGTGGAGAAAATCCATTCGTTGGCAAAAGGTTATTCAGTCCTAACAACTTGTGGTTTAGTGGAAAACCCGTTAGCTGGCAAAAAGTGATTCAGTCCGAACATCTCTGCAGGCAAAATGCACCAAAGGTGAGCAAGGGCCAAAACAACCAGCCACGAAATAAGGTAAGACTGGCATCGTGCATGATCCCTGGCCAAATGCACCATGATCCCTGGCCAAAGCAAAGAGACGAAAAACCATCCAGAGCTCCAACCAATCAACGCGACAGCCTGAGCTCCGTGCCAATGTGGCGGCCAGAAGAAGCTCGATGCTCTCACCATCTGCGCAAGGACGTCGGCGATTTCGGGAGGGGTGGGGGGTTGAATGGCCCCGGTATTTTACCACTGCAGTCACCCCACAAAAGTGGCAGGTTCAAGAAAGAAAAAAGGAGAAAAAAAGAGGGGAACAAAAACGTGTCTGACTTTAATAAGCCCAGAAACCGCGGAAAATAATGACAAGCTTGATGAGAAAGATAGAGTGTCTACCATGTCCTCACGCAACTCCTAGCTGACCTTTTTAAAAGCAAAAAATGTTTGGATATCCCCCGCTTGGCTCCCTTGCAGAAAGTTAACTTTTCTGGGTCCAATTCATATACACCAAAAGTTTCAACCCAGACAAATAAAGTCAAAAAGATCTGAAACCAAAAGCAAAATGTGTTGCATACCCCAGCTCCACGGCTCCCTTACAAAGCGTGTGACGGAGAACGAGCACCGCGAAGCCCGGAAGCGAAACCTGCCTGGGCTCTCGCAGATCGCCCTGGCGCTCGACGGGTTGTGGGGTTCTCAACTCGTGGGTATTCCCCTTTCCAAAAAAAAACGGGTAGCCTCAAAGTCATTCCTTCCTTTTGGATTCCCTTAAAACCTAGAAACAATGACAGTGGCCTCAAACTCTTCCGATTGGTGTCCGGAACCTGCAAACCCAAAGAAAACGAGAAGGTACCGAGCCTCCTCAACTCGGGGAAAAAAAACAAAACAAAAAAAAAAAACGAGCCACACAAAAAAGAAAGAGATATGGAAAAGGAAGCCGCCGCCCCCTTTCCCCCCGTTGCTTCCCACCTGCACGCATGGCGCCAGAGCTCCAGGTGCAGAGGCCCCACAGCATCCGCTGCGCACCTCGAGAAAACTTCGTCGGCTGCTGGGGGCGAAGACCAAAACCAAAACGGCCGCGGTTTTCTTTTTTTCCGGCTGCCTTGTTGCAGGTTTTCCCAAAAGGGACATATGAAATAGGGCGTTGTAGGTTCCCAAAAAAAATAGAAGTGTGTCAGTGTTTTTTTTTTTTTTTTTTTTTCTTCGGGGGGCACGCGAACAGGCTGGCGCTTCTCTTTGCCTTCCCTTTTAAAAAATCCGTTCACTACCCTGAAAAGAAGACACACCCAGCTCTGCCTCTGTTTCCTTGGAGCAGGTTTAGCCCCAAAGTCGTTTACAGCAAAACACACAATATGGGTCTGTGTTGTTGACGCTGCCCTTCTTAGGCCTGGCGACTGTTCTGGGAAATCATGAGGAAAGCCGAAGCCATGTTCGGCGTGCCCTCATTCCACAGGTCAACCCCAACTCTCACGCCCTTCAAGCGTCATTCTGAGTCAGTCTTGCGTTTCACCCGTTTCCCCTTTGCACCTTGTTTGCCTCACAACTCTTGCGCAAAAAAAAATCCAACGTCGGAACCTTCAGCAAAAACCACAACGTTTGGAGTACTATGAGTGCTCTACAACATGAATGGCCCAAAAGTTGGCGCCCATGCCCCAAAATCAGACTTCCTCTACACATGGGCAGGCTGTTGGGTTACATGTCAATGAAAAGTCAGCTGGACTTGTTCCCCTTCAACCTGGCTGACTTTGTCGCCTCCCTTCCTTCCATGTCCTTGCACTCCGACTAGCTCCAGAACCTCCCTGCCACCAGCTAGTGGCTGGGAACACTGAAACACGCCTTTGAAACCCTGAAAACCCCTTTAAACAACCTGCAAAGCCCCTATATAAAAACCCTACAAAACCCCTAAAAAACCCAAACAAAACCCATAAAAAACCCAACAACACCCCCAAAAAGCGTCTCTCCAAACTCGTCGCCTCCCTCGGACCACCCCCGGACCCGATCTCGCATCCGCTCGGCTCCGATCGCGCGCTCGCATCCGCCTGGCTTGGCTGGAGGCCTCGCTGGCCTCCCGCAGCTCCAGCCGCATCTGGCCCAGCGCCGCGTGCATCAGCTCCAGCGTGGCCCGCCTCGAGGCGAGGCCACCGGGAGGGTCCGGGGGGGAAAAAAGAGAAGCGTCTTCCGAACTCTTTTTGGTTGGTTCTTTCGAGGGGGACCATGGGAAAAAACGGGGGCCAGTGGATGAGGGCAAAATGAAAAATGCACAGGGCTCAGACTTGGTTGACGTTGGAAGGGGAGCACAAATGTCATTATTAGCAGTTCAGTGGTTGGATTTCAACCACAATAAGCAAGCATGCAAAATGTTTCCCAACAACAACCAAGCAGATGCAACCAGTGGATTACACGGGGAAAACACGGGCAGCGGATTTCCGATTCTCCAGTGGAGTTCCGTTTTTTTTGGTTGGTGGAATTTGAAGGGGAACCATGGGGAAAAGAAAGAATCGACACCCAAAGTTTGGTTGGTGGAGTTTAAAGGAATCGGAACTAGAAACCCAAAAAAAGGTGGAAAAAGGGCGGAATCCACTGGGCAACTGGGTCAGGGCGATGGTGATGAGGGAAAACCCGAAAAAGCCGGCGATGGTTCCTGCAACGGATGAACCCAGGCTTGCTACAGCAACCATGTTCGAAAAGTTAAGCCAGGGGTCGAACTCCGGAAAACCATCAAATTCAGACCAGAAAGAAAAAAAGTAGAAGAAATGTCTACCCCAAAAAATAAATCAGTTCGGATTTGTCTTCCCCCTTCTCACCCAACCACATCCAGACACCCCCCAAATCCGCCCAGCCCCCGAACCCCAATCGCCGAAGGCGCGACGCGCCGGCGCTCACCAGCTGCGGCAGCAGCGTGGGCCAGCGCTCGGGGAAGTCCTGCACCGCCAGCTCCTGCGAATCGATCGGCGCGGATCGGATCGCGGAGATGCGATGGGTGCAAAAATCGCTGGGAATGTGATTGAACGCATGGCATCGGCTTCCCCCCAAAAAGAGTGGCTTGGAGCCTGGCGGTTTCTTGCGATGGGTGCGAAATCGGTGGGGAAGGAGGGGAACTTCAAAATCGACCAAAAAACGGGGCGCCTCAAACTTTTCCGCAAAGAGGTAGTTTTAAAACCAAAAAAACACAATCAAAACTTGCGATCGCTGCGAAATCGGTAGGGAATGAGGAATGGCATGAACCCAGTTGCTTTGGTCCCCAAAAAAAGGAAACCAGCAGTTGGATGGTTTATAGACCCCCTTCCAATTCTCATTCCCTGCTGAGCACCAGCAAGGTTTGGCGCTGGAATGGGCAGCAAGGTTTGGTGGTGGAATGGGGTCGCTTCCCCTTTACCTTGAATTGGCGGTTTGGAGCCAAATCGGTGGTTTGGGAATTAAACCCCTGGTTCTCGTTGATGGATGAGAAACCACTGGGCCCCAAACCACAGAACAACCAAACCACCGGGCTTGGAGGGAAGCTTTCGAACATGAGGAAGGTAGCCCCCAACGTCCAAACACCAAACCACCAATTAGGGGGAAGCTGACATAAGTAGGCGGGACTTGGACCCGTGAAACACGCGTCAAGCCTAGGTGTCCTTGGAAATGGATTCAGAATTCCTTGGTAGATAGGAGTACCAACCAGGAATTGCCATCTACTTTTGACCACAGAAAAACTGTGGATTTAAGCCGTTGGTCAACAAGCTCTGTTTCATCGACCCACTTGATTAACTCAATCCACTTGTGGGTGGGCCTTCTTTCAGGCCCCCCCAAACAACAAAATCGGGGCTTCCCTTTAAAACCAATGGGTGCCTCCAACAAAAATCGAGCACCCCGGTTTTTTTCGATCCCCAACTGCAGGCAAAGGAGCCTTTCGTCTTGGAAACCTGTCCCCCCACCTTCCGCTCTCGCCAATCCAGTTTCAGCTTCCCCCGCCCACTGGTGGTTAGGTGTGCCACATTTATTGACAAGAACCGGTTCAAATTCCCAAACGACAGGGCTCCAAGCCACCAACTAGGGTCTTACCATGCCCATTACAGGTGTCCTTTTGGCAAAGTAGATGGCCCTCGATTTTCTGGGCCATAAAACACATTCCAACCAGTGTTATTTCTGTCCAACCGGACTGACTAAAAAAAAAAACACGATCGTCCCCACCTCTCGCTCTCACCTCTCTTCAACTTCCCTCCAATTGGTAAGTCTTAAAGTGCAGGGGTTTTACATCCCAAACCAACTCCAAACGGGAGACCTCTCTCCTGCACAGCGGCGCAGAGCTGCTTCCGCACGGCGCCGGAGGCGCCCAAGGCCGTGGGCACCAGCTGCTCCTTCAGCGCCTCGCGCGCGTTGACGTCTTGGAAGCTGCGCCGCAGGAAGTTCTTCAAGTAGATGGCCGCGGCCTCTCTCGCGCGCGCTTTGGCCAAAGCTTTGGCGCGCGGGAGAAAGAGGCGAGGAGAGGAGAATGGGAGAGAAAGGCCGGCATGCTTGTTTCTTGGGTGCGGTGTCTCCTCTAAGGAGCCCAAAGCCTGGAATCATTCCATTTCTCATTCCCTGCATATCGCAACGATCGCCAGTCAACTCCTCTAGGGTCTTTCTTGCATTGAAGGTGACATGTTTTTGTTGGGTGGTTTTGAAGGGGAAGCAGCTTGGGAGAGCCCTCAGGGTTCTTGGGTTAGGGTCTTTGAGGTGGTTTTTGGTTGTCTGGGTGGCAGAGCTGGAATTAGCAGAAGCTCTAGGGGTTGATTCCTTTTCCATTCTTCTCAACCATCGTTCTTTTCAATAACCAGCTGTCTCTGCTGGGTGTTTGGCGGTTTTCTGGAAAGAAGGATCCTTGGAAAGAATGGGGAAGCTACCCCCAGATTTCTGCGTGAGGCGAAGAAAGCGAAGGCAGCACCCCCGCCCAAAAAAATGAAGAGAGAACAAAAACTGGGCGAAAATCTGGGGATCCAAGAAAGGTCCGAATATCCATGCAGAAAGCCGGAGCAAGCAAAGGCCGGAAAATCCTGGGGCGACTGTAAAAAAAAGATGCCGAAAAGACAGCAATTCGTTGGGCGGGGTGCAGAGCCAAAAGCAACGGGCGGTTGGTCGGCTGCTTGGTCGCTCGCACCTGCGCCAGTGAGGCCTCGCAAACACCTGGCTGCAACAGCGCCAGCAGCGCCGAGCCAAAGTTCGGCTCCGCCTCCTGAGACCAGGCTGAGTCACAATCAAAACCCGGTATAAAATGGTTGACCCAGAACCATGTGAGGAAATACAAAGGCGGATATCCGCAACTATTTATGGCGTTCTGGAAGCATCCAAGATGTTAAGGGAGAGAAGGATGGACGCATATTAATTCCTGTGTCTATCTCATCTCTCAGACCCTTCTTTTGAGGAGTTACATGTAGAGATGAAAGAAGAGAATCATAGAGGAAAGAGTGTGACAGGGAAACGAACTTGGCCAATGGAAAACTTGGTCTTGGACAGGGGCAGTGGAACTGTTTCCGGCCAGGTTTGGGAGGGCAGCTCTTTTTTGGGACCCACAAAAGTTGGCTCACTTGTTGGCTCCATGGTGTTCGTTTTGCCCTTTCAAACCAAGCAAAAGGGGGTACCGAGCCTGAAAAAACCGACAGGCCCATTGGGCTGCGGGTCAAGAATGGGGCAACCTCAAAATGGAAGCGTGGTAAATGGACACATGGACCAAAACCTGCGGTCCCCTGATTATCTAATTTGGACTCATACCCATTTGGATGGAGGGGACGCAGGGGTCACTGGAGATTTCCCCATAAACGTTGATCAGTAGGTGGTTTCCATATGCAACCGCCGCATTTTGGAGGTTCCCAAACAAGAAATCGCAAGTGGCGGTGTCCTTTTTTTTCAGGACCTGAAAAATGGATCAAACTGGTGGTGTCCATTGCAACTGCCACTTCGCGGCACTGCGTGGCGGCGCTCCAACAAAAGTGACCCTCAGAAACCATCCCACCCGTTTTCTCCTTGACCAAAGCACCTGGGGTCAGACTCCATTTGGCTGCGGCTCAAAAACATGTACCAAAATGGGGCACCTTGGCAAATGGAAAGACCAACACAAGAGCCATACCCATTTCTCCTTCCCTACGGATTTTCCGCACCGTTCGGTCGCCAGAAACCCACCCCGCCCGGCTTGGCCAGCTCCAAGGCGCCGCGTCCCGGAGCCGCTGCGCCGCGTGCGCCATCTGCGGCCCCGGCGTGTGCGCCGCGCGCAGCAGCTGCGTCAGCGTCTCCATGCATGGCACGGCGAGGCGACCGAGGGCCAAAGGAGTAGCGATGCACCAACTGTACACGGGTCTGGCTGGGCTGGTTTGAGCTGGCTGTGGTTGTCAAAACCGGCCAATGGGATCCCATTTTGGTTGGTGATGAATTCACCACCCATTTTTTAGTCTTCATTTTAGTGGTTGGATTGGGATGTTCACTGGGGGTACGATTTGGCTTTTGACCCATGGCCAGCTGGGCTTGGGTGTGGGTGAGGTGGGTGAGTTGAGGTGAGGTGGGTGAGGTTGAGTAGGGTGAGGTGGGTGTTGGGTGAAGGGGTTCTCTGCTGTGCGTAGGATTTGGGATGGGGATGTTTGGGGCTCGTGCGGATGACACACTTCATAGGCCAGTGGGCTGAGTGGCATTATCGCTCGACTTGACCGTTGAAGTCTCGGGACTGAATCTGCTGACTAAATGCCGCAGCCAGCTAGTTCATGGGTGTCAATGATCTTAACCGAAGCACCTTGAACATGACAAAAGCGAGGATCTCTGCCACTCCAAGAATGACCCTCATGAATCTGGACTTGGGATCTGCCTTGCCGGCCCCACGATTTCTCTGGGTGTGGCACCGTCATTCGCCTCTGCCTTCCATGCAGCAAAACCTGCACGGTCAAACGGCGGTCAGTTTGGGCGTCGACAAGTCACTTCATGCCTCCTCCCGCAACTGGCCAACCAAAATCGGACTGAACGTATGCCCCCGGAAAATTTGCTGCTCAGGCACTCTGACCGAGTATCTGCCCAAGCAGCGAACCTTGGAATTCACAAGAAGCTTCTCAAACTTGATTCTCCTGTCTTGAACATTGCGCCAGCCAAGTCACTGTACTTCTGAAGCCGCTCCCTAACGTGCTTCTCCCGAAGGGCCTCAAGCGATTCGACCACCATCACAGAACGTTGGACTTCTCCATGCGCGCCTCTTTCTCCGCATGCTGCAGCTGATGCTGTGCCGAGAGCTCCTCCAACCTGGCAAGGCGCGGGGCAACATGCGGGCGACGCGGAGAAATGTGGCCATGGGTCAAAATCCAAATCGGTTATCCACCAGTGAACATCAAACAATCCAACGACTAAAATTGGTTCTAAAATGGGTGGTGAATTCACCTACCAACCAAAATGGTAGCATTGGTTTTGTGCGCCTCTCAGAGAGCCGCTGCAGGCGTGCATCAGAGACCTCAGACTTGCCCCGTGAGCAGGACGCTGGGCTCAAGTCGAATCAAAAGACTATGGGCCCGCGCTGCTCTAGACCACTCGGACCTCGGGCAGATCTGGGAGACTGAGTGAGGTGAAGTTTGTATGCTCCCACTGTCCGGCACGTCCGGCACGAACGATTCACCGTCGTTGCGCCGATGTTTGATTTCTGCGGTTCATGGAAGGTTTGGCTCTCTGCTCTCACAGGTCTAGCCCGCAAGCAGGGCCCTTCAAAGAGTCAGGCATTGCCATCCCTCCGTGTTAGAGGCCCGGCAAAGCCCGACTTGCAGAAGCTTCTCAGTACTTCCACAGAGGTTGTCTCAACCGCATGTTCTAGATGAATTCGGTCATTTTCTTAACCAACTTTCGTGCAAGAGCACAAATCTTCGAATTATGTCCATTGATTTCCCATTGTGAAAGCAGTGGACCAGCTCGGAACTTTCGACTCAAGGGCCGAGCCATGCCCGGCTAGAAACAGAGATCCGGGACCGGCCGGACCCCCGAGCCCTTCGAAACGAACAAGGGGCTGGTGCAACGCTCGGAGAAGCGCTGCCGTTTCAACGGCGCCGCATCGGCGAAATACCTGCATGCTATGTTGGACACAAGCGCCAGCCAGCCTCCACCACTGTGTCGTCCGAGGTCCAGAACCTTGGAAGTCTTCGGCGCGCGTGCTTTCGCGCAAAGCCCTTCCCTCCCAAAATCCCCCTGCACTCATGCAGCGATGCACTTACATTTGGCTGGCTCCTTTTCTCAGGCTTCGGGGCCCAAAGAAATGGCGGTGTTCCGAGGAAAAAAAGAAAAAGAAAAGAACACACACTTATCTCGAGAGGCTTCACTAGCCGAGATGAAAAACGCAGTCAGTAAAAATGCTTGAATGCAACTGCAAATCAACAGGTCACAACATCGACGCCGAACAGGAAGCAACAGCGACAAACAGAACCCGCAAAAGGAATTTCTCATCGCTGCAGGTACGTGGGTTCTGCGTCCAGAATCCATATCAGCACTGATGGAAGCCTCTTCGTTGGGCCGTCACTTCCATGCAGTGGACAGCCCCCCTGCTGCTTAAAGTTTTGCGTCCGTGCTCCAGGACGGTTCACACAGACAAGGCCCCGAGTGGGGCGAGCTCACTTATGCAAGGCCCATTGAGTCTTGCAATCTTCGACTGTGCGGGAAAGTCTCGTGGCGATGACAGACCATGCATGCTTGGCCTTGGTATTGATCTTAAGCGAACGGAGGAGATCAATCTCCTCCTCAGTCCAAGGTTGCGGGGCTTCGGGATCAGCCTCAGTAGCGGCATCAGTCCTGGTCGATGGGGTAGCTTTGCGTTGTCCACGGGTAGGTTTGGATGCCATAGAGCGTGAGGAGGTCTTGTCACATGTGCGACGAGCTCGTTTTTTGTCAGGAGGAGACGGTGGAGTGGGTGGAGCCCAATGATCAGGAAATTGTTCATCATGATCTGCGAGAAGTTGTTCGCCAGGATCTTCAGGAAGTTGTTCATTAAGATCACCGGGGGGGTCAGGAGAGGTGTTGGTGGTGAAATGGCCATGTCCTCTACGGTGAGAATGATTGGAGCTTCCGGTGCGAAATCCGGACCCTCAGTGAACTCGCGAATGGTGGCGATGCCTTGCTGGGCAATGCCGAGGATGAGTTCAAAGTCTTGAAGCAGCTGGCGTGCTGTGTCAGGATCCATGATCGCACAAGGTTTTATGTCAAACAGCTGCGGTGTGAAAACAGGTCATGTAGGAATCTTCCGGGGGACTAAGAGTGAAAAAGTGGGTGCAATCTCAAATAGTGGCAAAGGAAGGCCGGTGCGTTTTTTCTTCTGTAAGGTGAAACCGTGTTGGTGGTACAACTTCTTCAACACTGTGAAATCATGGTCTCGCTGAAACTCAGGGAAGGAAACCCGGCTGATCAGCGTACGTCTGGAGTAATATCCAGATTCCTTGTGCATCATTGGTGCGGCCGACTTGATGGAGAGCATGTTGTGCTTCTCATACGAGGGGATGAAGGAGATGGTGCCGCACTCAAGGTCTAGTCGAAAACCCAAGAAATCCAGGGCGGCTTCTGTCTCCAAAAGGATGTCTCCTCCGTAGAAGTGTTCGTCACACACGATGTGGGCTGCCGGTGTCGAAAACCATCTAGGGGTTGCGACCACGAGCCTGTTGTCCACATAGCGGAGCAGGAGGGCGTCTTCAAAGGAGCGAGGTCCCGAAGTAGGATGGGTGTTAGCCCAAATTTGCTCGGCAACCGCAATTACCATCAGGCATAAAGCAGGAGATGCGGGGGATCCCATCGGGGCCCCGCGTGTTTGCCTGAAGGAACGGAAGCCGACAGAAAAGATCTGCATGTCAAGCTACCCTTGAATTCGGGGATGCCGTCAAGCCACAGAGTGCGTTGCGCTGGCTTGTGTCGGCGACGGCGTCCGTTGTAGACGCGGGTGGTGGAAGAGGTGTCAAGTGTGTCCACAGTGAGGTGTGTGGTGGTGGAATGTGGTTGCCGCTGTCGGTACCAAGTCAAAAGCATCAGGCTGCTAAGAAGCGGTCTTTGTCAATGGAAGTGAAGAAACCGGAAAGGTCCTGGTTTCGACAGTCCAGAGGGGTGTGGCCGAGGCGGAGAAACTCATGCAAAGACCGCATGAGATCGAAGAGGTCGCCACCCGAAAATGTGTCTGGGCAAGCCGTGGCAACCATGCTGTGGAGCAGTTTGGCGAGAGCGTCAAGCATGGGTCGGAAGAAGGCGCCAACGAAGCTGATGATGGGTCGAGCAGTGGTCCAGTTCTTCTTCCTCTTGGGAGGATGTAGGCAGTCGCTGGCCGTCCGAAGCCGGTCACGGCCCATGGATAGCGACCGCGGAATCTGCTGACAATGCTTTCCCGTTGTCGTTGATGGATCTCAATGGAGGGGACTCGCAAGGGAGCAAAGATGGCAGGATCCGTGAATGTGGCGTCCAGCATATTGCCGTACACAGCGGGGCAATAGAGCATGAGTCGGGAGTCCGCATGATCTTCGCAATGGCGGACAAGGGGCTCCAGGGTTGTTAGAGCCTGTTGAACATGAGCATGTAGAAAGTACTGTTGTGTGTGAGGAAGGTGGAGGTCGAAATGGAAATCGACAATAGTGGAAAGGGTTGATGGATCAAGCGAGGGCAGGTTGTTGGTCCTGGCCCAGTGGTGAAACGCCTGAGTCAGACGATTCATCAAGACCCCGCGTGGCGGAAAGAAGGAGTTACGCATCGAACCAGAAAGCATGCTGACTATGTCGGGGTCGAACAACTCATGAGTGTCGGAGCCAGAGAAAAGAAGGTGTCCCTCATGCTTCGGGAGGGATGGGTGTCGCTTGGCGAGGTCGGTACATGTGCAGGACAGCTCGCCGAGACTCCAGGTTTGAGCTGCCTGGAGGTGTGAGAACAAGGCACTGGATAGTTTCCGGTGTGCCTTGAAAACGATGCGTGGTTGCGCCACATGAAACGGTAGAGCACCTGACAAACCCGCGGAGCTGGGTCAAAAGCAAAGTCCGAAAGGAGGAATGTGCGAAGAAGGGTGCGAGCATCGGTCTGGAGGGGCCGGGTGGAATTAGGCCCCGGAAGCGCAGGCTAGATCGAATGGCAAAGATGCATGCCTGGTGGTGTGGCTCAGGTAAGTGTGTAGCGATGCGATGAAGGATGTATAGGGCAGCGTGTGGGAAGTCTCTGCTCCGCATGTAACGGATGGCATCGAATCGTCGTAGGGTGTTGCTGCCAAGATTGCCCAAAAGGCGCCACAAGTCCAGGCGGTCGCTCATGCGCTTGGCCAGGAAAGCTTGTTGCAGAGCGATTGGTAGTCGTAGTCTGCGACGCTTTCGCCAAATGGTGGCAAAGCCCATGTGCCGGGATTGAGAAAAGTCCAATTGTCGTATGAAGCCCGTGCGTGGCCGAAAATGTCTCTCGATGAAGCCAAAATTGAAAGACGGTTGCAGTTCCTGAATGTAGAACTGCTCAGTGGCGAAGAGGTCTGTTGCTGGGACGGCAATGTGGATGGGCGCTGAAGTGTAAAAGTGGAAAACATCGAAATGCGCCCACCATCGAACGGCCAGTTCGGCGTTGACCAAATGGTGTCGTTGAACCTGAAGTAGTTTGCGGAATCGGCTGTGATCCCGAGCCATGAGAGAGGTGCGAGTTGCACCGACATAGAAAAAGGTTTGCCATTTGATGGCTGGTGAATCTTAGATAAACCGCGGAGGGGACAAGCTGAGATGAGAAATCAGAAGCGGGGGAATCCAGGCCGAGTCGGGCAAGCAGGGCTTTCAGTCGGCCAGAGCCACACGAGAGATGGCAAACGTCAAGTAGCTGAAGCTGTGCGAGTAGCCAGGAACAAAAGTGACGTGCGGCGACGTCGTCGGTTGGGAAGAACTGGAGAGTGAAACGGAGGACAGCGAGAAATTGGCGGCAGTGGTGTTGCCAAAAATTGTGTTGCTTGGCTGTGCGTCGTTGTCGGTGTGCTGTTGAGAGTCACTGGTAGAAGTGGCTTGCAGCGGCCAGGATGCGGCCCAGGGCCGATGACCCTAGTTTGGATAGGGTTCGCACTGGTACGCCCCAGAGCACGGCGGCTCGTTCCAGTTGGGCTCTGGTGTCGGAGTCCAGTGTGGTCGCCCATTTGGCGCAGTCGTTGGACCAGCATTTTAGGATGTCGGGTGGGAAGTTGCTGGTGAGCCATTGGCAAACGTGGGGAGGGGGTTGGAGCAGGTCGCAAAGCTCCTTCCAGGTGGGCGGAGAGGGGAGGGGAGAAGCCGCCGCCGGGGGGGTGCCGCCGTGGGTGGGGGCAGGGGAGTCGTCAGCGGGGCGGGGGAAACGTCAGGTAGTCAACCGTGGCCGCTTCATGCCGAAGTCCAGAAGGGAGGCCTGAGAGGGGTCAGCCGGGCGCTTGCCGGATGATGTGGGTGTAGGGGGAGGTGAAGGGGATGGTGCTTGCTGTGCAAGTTGGCTGTGTGCGACGGCAAGCTGTTGCTGGAGCTGGAGGATGGTGGCAGCTGAAGCTGGGTCAGTCGTAGTGGTGGGTCGTAGGGAGATGAGGAAGTCGAAGATCTTGCTGGTTAGTAGCTTCATGGCTGCTGGTTTGGTGGTCGAGGTGCCCTCCTGTGTAGCGACGTGGAGAGCGAGGGCATCCAAGTCAAGATGTCGTTGTCGGATTTGGCTGAGTAGCCCAGCGGCGAAGGCTGACTCCGGCATCGACTTTGCGACAACGATGCGTACCTCACCTCCATGGGCGAGGTGGCGCAACCACCAGCTGTTCCACTGTTCGTGCAGGAAGTTGAGGAGGGAAACGCGAGCGATGTCTTGTCCCTCAATGCCCAATTGCCGGGTGAACGCGGTATGCGTTATGACCTTGGGCAGGTCGTACCCTGCAACGCGGGTGGTGTCGTAGTGATCGTCGTCGGGGTTGAACTCTGCTGGTGTTGGGACTGAGTGGAGGGGGCGAAGAGCAGGAGGGGGTGTGGCCTTTGAGGCGGTGGGGGGAGGGGAGAAAAGGGGGCCGCGAAAGGGGGACGGGGGCCTGAGGGGCGGTGGAGTGGATGGCTGGAAGTGGGAAGTGGGGTGGCCGTGGGGTTGGCATGGAGTTGGAGTGTAGTCGGTGGTGTCCAGGTCGTGGAGGAGCATCCATAGCAAGGCCCCAACAGGGCCCCGCACAGGGTTCCGGCCGTGTTGTTGCCGTACATGTTGCCATGGCGGTTGGATGCAGCGGGTGAAGGTTGCTGTGGATAGTTTTGCCACTTTGGAGCATCGGTAACAAGCCTCGAGGGGGTTGGAAAGCCATGAGAAAACACAAGGGAAAGGGGCCAAGTTCGAACCAAAGGCTGGCAAACGGCAACCAAAAGGAAGGGTCGTATGGCGAACGATCGGTCACAGAAAAGGCAACAAAGCGAACAAACCGTGCATCAGTTCTTTTCCTGGTCAATTGGAATATGGTACGGTTCGCGCCCCGCTACGCTGGGCGCTGCAGCGCGACACCTCTCAGCATGGCATACTTGGAGTGAAGGCACCACTTCTTGCCTCTGCGGCATGCAAAGTGGCGCCGCACGTTGCGCTGGTCCTCGTGGCTTCCCCCGGACTCCAAGATCTTGTGCTGATTGACAGAGCGCAGTTCCCCAAAAGCGATGGTCCCAAGCTGAGACTTTCCGATGGTGAAGTTCTGCAAAAGCTGGCCTAACGTGTCGGGATTGCAGGCTGGGAGTGGCCTGAGCATAGCATCCAAAGCTCGGGTAGTCATGGTTCTCAGGCCTCCATGCAGCAGGCCGGATCATGTTCTCATAGGACATGCGGCGCATTCGATCCGGGGTGGTGCCGTGTACATACATGACAGCGTGATGGGAAGCTGTGCCGGATCCAGCGTCCGGGTGCCCACCAGCGACCGGCCAGGGGTGTGGTCGGGGAAACCAAGTGGTTGCGAACACCATGCCATGTGATTCCCGTCCCAGGAGATGGTAGAAGCTGGGGTCGAACGCTATGGGCTCATCCATGTCCATGGTTTGCAGTTCCCAGCATTCTGCGAGGATGTCGGCATGTGAAGGTGGCAAGGCAGGGTCCAGGTTCGTCAAAATGGCCTTGGTCTGTTCCATTCTGGAGATGTCCAGAACCTTGGGAAGTGTGGGTTTGCGAGGCTCGATGCGGAGCCGTGGTCCTGGGTGCGGGGGAGTGTTGTTGGGAGGACCTGCGTCGGGGGGAGCGTGAGCGGAGGGAGATGGGGTTGCGGCGCGATCGCCTGGAGCGGTGGGGCCGTGAGGGGGAATGTGACCGGCTGGAGCTGCGTGCTCGCCGGGCGGTGTGTCGCCGTGGCGACTTGTCGTGTCCACGGTGATGACTAGTGTGGGAGTGTGAGTGGCGGTGTCGTCTGTGACGGGAACGGGATCTGCGGGAGTGGGACTGGGGACGAGTGCCCGTGGGATGTGGGTTGGTTGAGGGAGCGGCGGCAAGAGTCGTAGCAGCTGTATCGGCTGCGCGTGCCGGCTGAGGCTCGGGCAATGAAGATGGCATGCTGTTCTGAGCCATGAAGGGCATCAAGGCGCCGGATGTCGCGTTGCCAAAGTTAGGAAGGCCACCGTAGGGCATCACGGACATCGGGTTGCCAAAGAGGCCACCATAGGGCATCATGGAAAACGGTGCAAAGGGCGTGGTCTGTGGGTTGGGTTGGTACGAGGCTCATGGGCTGCATCATCTGGGGTGACAACTGCAGGTTCGGTCCACCGCTGCCTGGTGAGCCGGACACGGTGCCGGCCGCAATGCTTTGCAGGAGCGAATGCATCATGTCATAGAGCTGGTGTCCAGCCATCTCGCAAGGGAGAGAGAGGGTTGGAAAGAGAGGGGTGGAAACAATAAAAGACAACTGCGGCATGGGCAGGCACGATGTAGCAACTGATTCACACATGACCTGTGCCTCAAAAAAGCTGCCTTGTCGGTCCGACTCATGTCAATGCAGGTGTCGCCCGAACGTGAAAGTGAATTGAACTGATCTGAGTCAGCGCAGAGCGTGAATCAATGAACTGCAAAGTCGGTGTCTGACCGGCTTGTCACTCGCGCATGAAGCTGCCGGAGCCTGATACCTCGTGAGAGCTGCCTTGTTCAAAACGCAGGCAGTGCAATGCGAATGAAGCTGCCGGAGCCTGATGCCTCATGCGAGCTGCCTTGTTCAAAATGCAGGCAGTGCAACGCGAATGCGAACTGAACGTGAACTTTTGAACGTCATCCCCTCGCAGGGGGCTCCTGCATATGGCGAGTCCAGCCCACAGCGCCATGTCGGACAGGCCGTGGGTAAACACACTTATCTCGAGAGGCTTCACTAGCCGAGATGAAAAACGCAGTCAGTAAAAATGCTTGAATGCAAATGCAAATCAACAGGTCACAACATCGACACCGAACAGGAAGCAACAGCGACAAACAGAAACCGCAAAAGGAATTTCTCATCGCTGCAGGTACGTGGGTTCTGCGTCCAGAATCCATATCAGCACTGATGGATTCCTCTTCGTTGGGCCGTCACTTCCATGCAGTGGACAGCCCCCCTGCTGCTTAAAGTTTTGCGTCCGTGCTCCAGGACGGTTCACACACACACACACAAACCCCCCCCTAAAAAAAAACACGGCCATCCACTGCCTTTGCCCCCACCCTTGCTCTTCTTTTCCCGTCTCTCACCTTCTCCTTTCCCCTTCCCCAACACCAAGAAACACGGCGCTGGGGGTCACGTTCTCGGGGCCCGAAAGCCCGGAGAAGGGCCGGCAGTCCACGTAGAGCTGGTCGAAGCCCGGCTCCGTGGTGAAGTTGGCCACCGCAATAGGCACCGCCGCGGAGGCGTTCACCGCCACCTGGGGGGAGGGAGGAGGGGAGGGGCTTCAAGGGGCCCAAGTTGGAGGAGGGGAGGGGGGGGCAGGGCTCCCAGTTGCTTCTTCTCTTTTCTGGGGGGTGGGGTCAAAAGGGGAGGATGGGGCGGGAGGATGGGGGGGTAGGGCTCGCCTTTGCTTGTTGTTGGCACCGCCCATGTTTGTGGTTTATTGAATTTCTTGAAAAAATGCAACGTCTAGTAAGGGTCCAAGGGTCCAACAGAAGGGGGGGAGGACGACTCCCCGTTCTGTTGTTCATGTCACAGTTGTGGATTCAAAAAAGAAAGCCGAAAGAACACCGGGAAAGCCTCCGTCGTCATTTTGGGCGTCATTTTGGGGAGGACCAATTAAAAGGGGCAAGACACGAGGCAGAACCTCAGGCCTTGCACTCCTCATTCACGCCGTAGGGCTCAGGAAACCCAGGGCTCAGAAGGCAGCCCGACTCGTCTACGCTGCAAGGCCCAGTGACAACCGTCCACATGAAGCCGTTGAAGTCGAGTTGGGAGAAGTCGTCCTCCTTTCTCATTTTGGCGCGCGATGCTTTTTTGAACGCGCTGTTTGCAACAAGCTACGGTTCTCTGACTCCTTATCATTTCGGCGCACAAATGTTCTTGTTTGAATGCGCATGCAACAGCGGCTTGCAACAAGCACAGACATGTTCCACACTCAAACCAAACCTCTTTGATACATATGGCTGTGGAAATAGCTTGCCCTGGTAAGTGGAAACATGGGACCAAAACCCTGCGGTTTGCCCCTGCGATCGTCTCATTCCGAGCCACACCCATATCTCATCAATTTCGGAGTTACCCCTTTCTCATTTGGATTTAAAGTGAACTCAAAGCGAAGCCAATCATGGGGATCCTGGTCCAGCAAAACCAAAAGCCTCATACCTTTACAAAGCCGGAGTGCAAATCAGCCAGCTCAAGGAATCTGAAGATAAAAGACACACCCATATGGACTTTTCACCGGGGGCCCCTGCGCTGCTTCGCTGCTTCTCGGAGTCCTTGGCAACCTCCGCGTGGGCCTTGTGCACCTTCCCGGCCATGCCATCCTCGATCCAACCTAATGGTTCTCAGAGAACGAGAAATGGGGAATGACCCCAGGAAAAGCCCATCCAACTGCTGGCTTCTCCATTCTCGGGCATCTTCAACCAACACCTTTGTTCATTTCAACCAACACCCTTTGTTCATTCAGTCCTTCAACCAACACCCAGACTCGGGTAACAAAATCATCTATGCTACCCATCGCACCATCACCCGGACTCGGGAAAAAAGGGGGGGGGGGGGGGAAAGAAGAAAAACACCTCCCCTGGCGACCCCGCGGCTCAAGCACGGCTCACGGCTCAGCTCAAGCGACTCAGCACGCTCTGCACGCGGCCGTAGACCCCAGGGAAGCCTTCGAAGGCGCATCCCTGGCCCCAGCTCGTCACCCCCCGCAGCACGTAGCGCTCCTGCGGACAGCCGCCGACGCCGCGGCGCTTCGGAGAAAAATATGGCCGTGGTGGTCAGACATAGGGCAACCCCCAAAATGGGCTGCCCTGGCAAATGGAACGCTGGTACATGGAACCGTGGTAAATGGAACCCTGGTAAATGGAAGCCTGGAAAATGGAACCCGGGTAAATGGAACCCCGGATATGGCCAGGAATTCTAAGAGTCGGAACCACCTCATGAACCCCGACAAGTTCGAGCCGTGGCCAATGACTCGGAGGGGTTCCTGGCCTTCGTGGAGACAAAAGTGATTGGTGGACATGAATCCCCACCCAAATGAAGTCCACCCAAGGGTCCCTTACCATATGGCTGTGGTTGTCAGACATAGGGTAACTGGCCTCGGCGACTCAGTCTGGAAGCGAGCGGATCTAAACCGGCCGTGGTTGTCAGAGACAGGGCAACCCCAAAATGAAACCCTGGCAATTGGGTTCCAAGGATGAGATCCTGCGGTCCATATGCTGGTGGCTTAATTTTGACCCATACCCATATCCGGGCTCGTCAATTTTGGAGTTACCCCTTTCTCATTTGGATTTAAAGTGAACTCAAAGCGAAGCCAATCATGGGGATCCTGGTCCAGCAAAACCAAAGACACACCCATTGCCTCAGAACTTCACAAAGCCGGAGTTCAAATCAGCCAGCTCAAGGAATCTGAAGATAAGAGACATGCAACTCATTTCGCGTCCCCAAAATCCCACAAATCACCTTAGCTGAAACGAATGAATGCATCCACTGGGGTAGGCACAGGCTCCTGTGCCCGCAAGAATTTGTCGCGCTCCCGGTTTTCAACCTCCATTTTCCATTTTTGGTGCGGTCCTCTTCGCGACAGACCAGAGGACCGCCGCTGTCGCCCTGACAGGTATCAGTAATCCCATCGCTGGATCTGCCCGCTGCGCAGAGCATCGACCCGGTGATGGTCTCGGTGTAGTTGGCTTCGCAGTCTTCGGTGCTGAGAATTTTAACCTCTGCTGCGAACCAAAAAAAACATCTGCAGGGAAAAAGGAAGAAGGTCTACAGCCATCAAAAAGTTACTCAGAATTTGAACCTGTGCTGCGAACGTGTGCACCCAAGGCCATGCAGTGGAAAGGAGGAAAGTGCACGGCCATCGAAAGAAATTAAGTTTGCTCCAAGCAGCCTTTGCCTGCTGCAAGACGTCCGGCGTGGGGCCAGACGCCACCAAGGTTCCCCAGCCGGTGATGCTGCATTCCTCTCCGACATCGTCGGTGCTCGTCGGCAAGCAGGCAACACCGATGCACTCGTTGATGGGCACTGGCTTGTCTAGTCTCAGCAGAGCAAAGTCGTAGTCGTGGTCGACATTGTCCTGGTACCTGGGATGGGTATCGCATGGCGCAACATAAAAGAGCCAGGGCACCAGGCAGGTTCCAATGTTCCATGTTCCAATGTTAGTCTTTGTCGCCATGTTCCAATGAACCTCGTTGCAAATCTGCAACATCTGTCGCCCGCAAAAGACTCACGACTCCCAGGCGGCCGGGAAACCCCCCCCCACCTGCCCAAAGGACCTGGAAAAAACAAAAGGCTTAACCTTTTGGGTCCATGGTCGAAAAATCGAGAAGGGGAAAGGTCAAAAGCTCACTTCAGGTCGATTCGCTTTGGACCAGCGAGCCCCTCAACAATCATCAAAACATCAAACCTCGGTTGCTTTCTGCTCAACTGCCGAAAGTGTAACTTTTTGTGGTTTAACGGAAAACCCATTCGTTGGCAAAAAGCTGAAGTCCTAACATCCAAGCAAAATGAACCAAAGAAACATCAAACCAAACCATCAAACCCTTTTGTCCATGAACAAAAATCAAAAAGGGGAAAGGTCAAAAGCTCACTTCAGGTCGATTCGCTTTGGACCAGCGAGCCCCTCAACAAACATCAAAACATCAAACCTCGGTTGCTTTCTGCTCAACTGCAAAAAATGTAACTTTTTGTGGTTTAACGGAAAACCCATTTGTTGGCAAAAAGCTGAAGTCCTAACATCCAAGCAAAATGAACCAAAGAAACATCAAACCAAACCATCAAACCCTTTTGTCCATGAACAAAAATCAAGAAGGGGAAAGGTCAAAAGCTCACTTCAGGTCGATTCGCTTTGGACCAGCGAGGCCCTCAACAAACATCAAAACTGTCTGCTCAACTGCCAAAAGTGTAACTTTGTGTGGCTTATCGAAAAACCCATTCGTTGGCAAAAAGCTAAAGTCCTAACATCCAAGCAAAAACCGAAAGAAAGGTTTAACAAACCTCCACATCAAACCTCAAAACCAAAAAGTCCAAACCTCAAACATTCAACAAACCTCCACATCAAAGAAACGTCAAACCATCAAACCTTCTTAGGGGAAAGGTCAAAAGCTCATTTCAGGAGGTTTCCCCCCCCCCCCTGTTGTTGTTTTTGTTTTTTGTTTTCAACCCTTCAAACCGCCCCAGGCGCAGCGGGTGCACGTAGACGGTCTGCACGCGCCTCTCCACGGCATGGAGGCTGCGCGCCAGGTCCTCCCGGCGCTTCCAGCCCCCAGCGCCCACCCGAAGGCCCTGCACCTGGCCTCGGCGACGCAGATTGAACAGAGCGTTTTTTGCTTTTGGTTTTTTGATATATTTTTTGTTGTGCTCTTTCTAGTGCTCGCTCCACCCCGCAGCCCTCGCAGAACGTCCTGGAACCCTGGTGGAACCCTCGTGGAACCCTCGTGGAACCCTCGTGGAACCCTCGTGAAACTCTCGAGATTTCTGGTGTTTTGCTCGCCGCGGGATTTCTGTTTGGTTGAGGCTGTATGGGGCCTCAAGGTCACTGATGCTTGGCTGTGGTTGTCAGAAATAGGGGAACCCCAAAATGGGTGGCCCTGGTAAACGGGTTCCAAGGACTAAATCCCGGTCCATATCCTGGTGGTGTCTCATTTTGACCCATACCCATACGGTGGCCGCTGTTTTGCTTTGTTTTGTTTTGGGGGGGGCTACCCACGTTTTCGAGGAACACCAACAGGGAGAACCGAGGCCATTTTGGGGTCCAACCTCAAAAAGAGAGACAAACCCATACTTTGCTTTTGAGTTTGAGTGGACCCGCCAGTTGATTGCTAAAACGCGGTTGTCTTTAGAAGCACCAGTCTCCCTTTTTACAGCCCAGGAATGACTACAACCCAGCAGTTGTTTGAATCGGAAAGGAAACCCATGGTTCAAGAGTGGCAGCATGACCCACAATCTGGATTCGATAATGCACCGCCTCAAGTTGCATTTTGTCAAAATCAGGATTCTCGGATCATTCAAATTGAAGAACAAAAAAACTAACCCATTCAAAATAGACACGCCCTTTAAAACCACCCCAATTTTTGTGGTGCCAACTCCAACAAACGGGTGTCTTCCCGTCTCCGAGGGTCAGCTGCTGCGGATTCTCATGACGCAGTGTGCCGCGGTGAGGACCCACTCCGGGCTGATCAGCGTCCCGCCGCAGAAGGGCCCGTTGCTCTCCGAGCCAAGGCTCACCTCACGAGAGGTAAGGTGGGGTGGGGTGGGGTGGGGTAGGGTTGGGTAGGGTGGGGTAGGGTGGGGTGGGATGAGAGGTGAGAGGTGAGAGGTGAGAGGTGAGAGGTGAGAGGTGAGAGGTGAGAGGTCAGAGGTGAGAAGTGAGAGGTGAGAGGTCAGAGGTGAGAGGTGAGAGGTGAGAGGTGAGAGGTGAGAGGTGAGAGGTGAGGTGTGTCTCCCTCAGGAATATTACCAGAACTCCTGGTGAAGCAATTTTGGACCACACCTTGGATCGCCCCAGCTCCCTTTCACGGCTCGCTTCCAGAAAGCAAGTTCTTTTTTTCTTCAAAGACCGGCGGCCTGCCATCTCCAGACGCACTCCGAGGCATCTTTGCCGTGGACGATGCGGCTGGTTTCTCGCCGCTGTCCCAGCACCCCGCACTGCGTGTAGTCCTCTGGCAGCTGCGGCTGGCCCCTCAGGTTCCCATCGCCCCTGGCACAGAGCAGCAGCGGGAATAAGCGCAACATGACGTGGCCTGAGCCAAAAATATTGCCCACGCGATTCATGGCGCGCGAAATGGAACCCCTCAAAAAAGACGGGCAAAACGCGGACTCAAACCTGCAAGCCCCCCTGGTATTCAATTGTCATACCCAAATGCCGAATTCGGCATCGGGTGGGACACCCCTACCTCAGATGTCGTATAGATCCTTCACAGGTGGCCTAAGAACGCGACAGGCCAAAGCGCTGGAAGCCTTCAGTCTGGTGGGACAACAACCTGACAAGTCCAATCGCGGGCCAACTGATCTGAAGAGTAGCTCCTTTCTGGCTTGCACAGCTCAGACTCACTTGCTTGCATTGCCTGGCAACCTGCTCCGCCACTTGCTTCCGAGCTGAGCGGTGTGTGGATGCCTGACAGAGATTCCACGGAAGTGCTGCGAACGAAGTTTGCTCGGCTCCCGGCCAGCTTAGCGAGCCGCGCGGCGTTGGCGCGGCGCTCGTTCTGGTGGCCCACTAACCTCTGGTCATTTTTGTGCGTCCTTCTTTTGGAGATATCCCTTTTGTCGTGGTTTTGAAGGGAAAGCAAAGGAAAACATCACTTGGGGCCCTAAAAAAGACACGCCCAGCTTTTCCGTGTCCTTTGCGGTTGGTCTCTTGCACCCGGCCTGCGCCAAAGAAAGCTGTGGCGTGCCGCCTGCGACACGATCAAGATACCCCCAGCCGCTCCCCCGCTTTTCGAGGCACCCCCAAAATGGCGCAACGGTGTTCAAATTGATTTTCCCTTCAAAACCAACCGAAAAGCGGCTTCTACTCTCTCTTCTTCTTTTTTTTGGGGGGGGGAGGGGGGAAGGCACCCATGTCCATTTGTCCATTTGTCGGGCTGGAAGGAAAACCACCCAGGGAGGCCCAAAAAACGCCCCGCGTCCGCCCCTGGGCCTCACGGAAGCCGAGGAGGCCGCGGACCAGAAGCAGGGCATCGGCCACGGGCCGCAGCACCGTGCACGCCCGACTCTCCAGGAAGCCCTGCGCAGCTTCGAGGTGTGGTTGGGGGGGGGTGGGGGGGGTGGGTGGGGGATGGGGTTTGGGGGGGGGGGGGGGGATGGGGTTTGGGGGGGGGATGGGGATGGAGCTCCGCCCCAAACCCTTAGCTTTTTGCACCCGGTTTGAAGGGAGAAAGGGGGAAGAAAAAGAAGAAAAAAAAGGTACCCTTCAAAAACACGTGAAACCTTGTTTTTCTGCTTTTTCTAAAAAAGCGCACTGGTTGGTTTCGTCCCGCCTGTAGCCGCGCATCGAAGTGGAGATGTTGAAAGCCCAGCAGCTTCAGCGTGCGGCTCTTGCTGCTGCAGAGGCTGAGGCACCTGATCTTGCCCTCCGTTTTTGGGTGTCTCTTGGGCAAAACCGTTCAAAAAAAGGCTCCCCAAGAGCAACAAATCCACCATCTCGCTTTTGTGTCTTGTTGTTTCTTGGAAGAATCCAGTCTGGGGAACCTTCAAAGTCCAGGGTCTGTCTCTCTTTAGTTTTTTTGGGTCTGTCTTTCACACTTCTTTCAGGGAAGGGATCCAAAAACCTTCAAAGTCCGCCTGGGTCTGTCTTTGCGTTAAGGTTGAACGCCACCCAAAAACACAAAAAAGAAACAGGGCGGCTTGCCTTTGGGTTCCGAACCAGAGGGGTTCAAACCAAAACCAACACGTCGACCCAGAAACCAAAAGCCTGGGCGCGGCGCTCACCCAAACCGGCCACCTCCTCAGCCACGATGGCCTGTCGCCCGGCAAAACGGCGCGGCGTGAAACACATGAACCTTGGTTGACATGTGGGAAGGGGAGCAAAAGAAACTAACACTTTCAGCAGTTCAGTGGATTCGGATTTCAACCACTAAACCATGGAAACAACAAACTAAATAAGCACAAACACTTAGCCACTATATAGACTTTCCCGCTAAAAAACATGTGTCCCAACCACAATCCATGGAAACACAAGAGGCGATGCGAAACGCCTCCATGAGTCGCAGCATCACCGGCGGCATGTCAGCTTCAGCTCCTGAAACGTTCCATGAATTCTGGGCCCATTGGGCTGTGTCAAAAATGGGTACCCAAAATGGAACCCTGGTAAACAACACATGGACCAAAACCTGCGACATGCGCCAACATGTGCAAACATCTGCGCTCGACGTGGCACCTCTCGGAAATCATCCGACCTCTCGCAGAGCCGAATCACAGGCGCACCCCTTCCTCGCGGACTTGCCTCGCTCCTCCAGGAGCAATGCTGACCCCTGATTCATAAACCCGGTCCCTTTTGAGTGGGGATTCCTTCTTTCCAGGGCCCCCCCCCCTCATAAATGACTGGGGGGTTTATCAACAGGGGTCGACATTATCACAGCTCAAAGAAAGCACCGTCTCACTCCAAGAAGAGTCTCAGAGCCCCTAGCAATCCACAAACATCCATTGAGAGCTCGGCTCATAAAAACCCTGCAAACCAGCTCCGGTTTGCTCATCTCTAGAAAAGCTGTGGCTCAAACACACGGTGGTTATCCCCAAAACCGGGTCAACCATGGCAACGGCTCAAACCTGCAGTTCTGCTCGCAAATGAGAGCCACAAGCGCTGGCCTTAAGCGGGGAGAGCTGTCAGGGCTCGCGGTCTCGCCCCTAGGCGCCAAACAAAGCTGGGAGTCTGAATCGGAAACCACCGGCCAAATGAGTGTGTGGCGTGTGGTTTGTTGCTTGTGTTTTTTTGCTTTGTTTTTCTGTTTTTCGCAGGGCACCCCTCTTTTTTGGGGGTTTAAACGGAAACTAGATCGAAAGGCGCCATTTTAGTGGGCCCCAAAAAAAAAGACGCCCCCAGCTGCCTTTTTTTTCCGCATCTTGCCTTGAGACAATGTCGCGTCCGCACCCATGGGGCTGCAGGCCGACGCCAAACCATCGCAAGGCGTGCGCGTCTGGCTGAGCCCAAGGGCCCCCAAATGACTTCGCACGGCGATTAAGACTCCGAGCAAAGCTCGCGCCGGAGCCTCTGCCAAATCGAAGCGAGAAAACACACGCAGTATCTCTGTGAGTTTGGCCACAGGCAGAGGCTCATGAAGCCCCTCCAGGGCTTCGGCGAGGGGAGGACACGATGCGCAGTCGCAACGATGCGCGCCATGCATGCCAGAGTATTCCTTGAAATTCAGACATCCCACGTTCCGAGTTTAAATTCCTCTTGCTGTAAACCAATCAATGACAGGTTGTCCACTTGTTAACTGTTACGAGACATGGGCAGCATGTGCCCAGCTTCCTTTTGCCAGACTACTTAGAGCGGCTCCGGAGCTTCGCGGAACCTGCTTGCAGCAGAAGGAAAAGCCTGCCCTTGAAGGACTTTCTTCTGCAACGCAGGGAATCGGACTCTGAAAGACAGCTGCTCAATCACAGCAAGAATGGATTTGGAGCGCCGGAAGCTTTGAGTGATGGGACGAATATACAAATACATCTATATACATAAAATAATATATATATATATATGTATATATAGATTATGCGCTTCTCTTTAAAAATCGTGCTACGCCGCCCTTTCTGCGCCGCGAGACATGATTTGTCGACATTGCGGAACCTTCCAAGATCCCTGCCACGCCAGGGAATGCCTGACGCTCAAGCTTCAGCGGAAGCTATACTTAGAAGCTGCTAGGTCTTATAGGTGAGGCCGCGGAGCCTCGGGCCACACTTGCAGAGTTTGGTTGAGCGCGACGCCACCTTCTTCCACTGGACGGCCCTTTAGGTGACATCTTCAACTCAAATAAAGGCGCAGCAACCGCTGCTCGCTTCCCCCCTTGGCGTGAGTTGGGCTGAGTTGCTGTGAGCAGGCCGTTTCCATTTTTGCGCGCGAGCGCTGCCCATGGTTCCTCGGCGCGTTTAAATAATGTTTCAAGAGGCCCTTGGTGTCCGGAACAGGCGCCTGCGCGCTTGAGACCCCTTCCTATCTTCCGGAAAGGGGTATTGAGGCCGGGGTCGCAGCTGGGCAGTTGTTGCTTGTTACAAGCCATGCGCTTGCACCCCAGCTTTGCAAAATGCCGGGAAATCAGTTCAGCAAGAACTACACATCTCCTCGATAAAAGCCCTTCCAGGCTCATTTTCCCACGCAACTGCTGGCCTCCTGACAATCCTTGAAGGCTCCACACCCTTTTGCCTTCGCCGCTCCTCAACTTCCCTTGGTCCAATGACTCCTCTCCCCCGCTCCGCCTCCGTTCCTCATCCTCGGGATCTCACTCCCTCACGCTTTCTGTTCTCCTCCCTAGCCCTTCAAGCTCCTTTCTGCTCTTGCAGCTCCTTCACCACGATGGCCTCTTCTCCCTCACCAGCGCGGGTTTGGCGCAAGTTCGACTTCCGCCAGATCTGGGCCTCCTCTTCCACAATCAACGCCGCATCTGACACTTGCACACCCCCGCGAAGCTTTGGCAGACGTGTTGGTACGGCTCTCAACCTGCCGAAGATTAGTTGTTTTGGTCTCAAATACTGTAAGGCCCCAAAACCCAAAGCGCTGTGAGAAAAACAGGCCTGAGTTTGTTGCTGTCTTTTTGAGATTTTCTTACTCTTTTTTTGCGGGGGGCCTTATAGCACTTTGGAGCTGGTTGGACGTTGCAGCATTTGCTATTGTGAAGCCTCGAGTCGCTCAAATGCTGTAAGGCCCCCAAAAAGCAAACAATTAAAGGGCGTGATGAGAGTAGATGACTGTCATATCACAGATCTTGCAAGCTGGCCCTTTTTTGATGCCCGCCTCGTAGTCCTATTTAAATCACAATTAAAACGAGATTTTGCTGGCATTATGGTCTTGTTAAATTCTTTCTGAATGTTCGTTAAAAAGCTGAACAAATCCTTCTGGGAAAGGAACCCCCTTTAAAGTCCAAAATGGAATAGGAATTCTAATCAAAAAAAGTAATCATACAGAAACTCTACTTGCAACTAGATATTCCAGCAGAACTTTGTCCTTACTAAACAATAATGATTAAAAGATTGAAGCATCATCATTGGAAAGGAAATCCCTTTGAACTCTATGTGAAATATGATTTCTACTTAGAGCCTACTTGAAGTCCACTTTAAAAGGACATCCTATCTAAACTCTGGTTGAACCTAGAACTTCTACTAGACCTCTTTCCCTACTACATTCCATTTAATCTTAATCAAAAATAAACAGTTGGGAAAGGGATGCTGCTTTGAAAATATGAATGGTAATTAACCACATATGTGGCGTTTGATGGAGTATATATATATATAGAGCCTCTTAAAAAAATCGAATTGAAATGAAATCAGAAAGTCTACTAGAATTTGTTCCTTGTTGAATCATAATGAAATTATCCTTGAAAAATGAACAAATCCTCCTGGGAAACGACACCCCCTCTGAAATCTAAGTTGAAATCATCTTTAAAAAGGAAATGCAACCTAAATTCTAGTCAAATCTACTAGAGTTGGTCCCTTTTAAATTCGGTTTACTTGGAACTACAACATTGGACAAATCATCCTGGGGAAGGAAGTTAAAAGTCTAAGTTGAAAAAATGATTATAGCTAAAACCGAATTGAAAGCCGTTTAAACTAGGAAATCCTCTATTTGAGGCAAGGATTTCTGCTAGAAGCCCGTCCTTATTAAATGTGCATTCAAAACATGAAACGCATGCATATGTAGATCATGGGAGGAGCGTGAGCGTATATATATATATACATGTGTGTATTTCTATATGCCAGTATAGCCGGCGAAGCCGGGAGGCGGAAGTTTCCAACCAGCATACAACTATAGGACCGACTTTGTGTTGCGTTCGTTGACAAACAGCTCACACTTCTTTCTTTTCTGTCTCCTTTGCGTCCCTGTTTCTGTCTCCTTTCTTTCTTTCTTTTCTTTCTTTTCTTTCTTTCTTTCTTTTTTTTTTCTTTCTTTTCTTTCTTTTCCTTCTTTCTTTCTTTCTTTTCTTTTTTTTCTTTCTTTTCTTTCTTTCTTTCTTTCTTTCTTTCTTTCTTTCTTTCCTTTCTTTCTTTCTTTCTTTCTTTCTTTCTTTTCTCTCTTTCTCTCTTTCTTTCTTTCTTTCTTTCTTTCTTCCTTTCTTTCGTGTGTTTTCTTTATTTCTTTGTTTCTTTCTTTCTTTCTTCCGGTTTTTCTTTCTTTCCTTCTTTCCGTCCTTTTTTCTTTCCTTTCGTTCTTGATGTTCTGTCTTTTCTGTCGGTCTTTCTTTTGCTGTGTTTTTTTTTGCGATGTTCTCTTCTCTATCTATCCATCTATCTGTCGAGTTATCTATCCATCCATCCATCTATCTATCTCTCTCTCTCTATCTATCGATCGATCTGTCTATCTATCTGTCTGTCTGTCTATCTGTCTGTCTCTCAGCTCTATCTATCAGTCTATCTATTTATATCTCTATCTATTTCTCTATCTATCTATCTATCTATCTGTCTATCTATCTACGTATCTATCTATCTAATCAATCTATCAATCTGTCTATCTACCTATCTATCTATCTATCCGTCTATCTGGCTAGCTAGCTAGCTAGTTATCTATCCATCTCTCTACTACCTCTCTATCTATCTATCTATCTATCTGTCTGTCTTTCTTTCTTTCTTTCCTTCCTTCCTTCCTTCCTTCTTCTTTCTTGTTCTTTCTGTCTTTCTTTCGTTCTTCCTTCCTTCCTTCCTTCCCTCCTTCCTTCCTTCCTATCTGTCCATCCCTCTATCTATCTATCTATCTATCTATCAACCTGTCGATCAATCAATCTGTCTATCTCTCTATCTATCTAGCTACTCATCTATCTATCTATCTATCTATCTATCTATCTATCTATCTATCTATGTATCTACTTATGTATCTATCCGTCTGTCATTTATCTAGCTATCTATCTATCTACCTACCTATCTATCTTACCTATCTATTTATTTTTCTCTCTATCTTTTCTATCGATCTCTCTCTCTATCTATCTCTCTATCTAGCTATCTAGCTATCTTGCCATCTACCCATCAGCTACCTATCTATCTATCTATCTAGCTCGCTTCATCAAAATATCTACTTCGAAAACTACTTTTGCACTTGACTTTTCCCATTTTCGAGCTGCAGCTGGAGAAGTGTACTTCGAATACTACTGTTGTACTTAGCTTTTTCGATTTTCGAGCTGCAACTGGAAAATAAATGTAATCGTACCTTCGATCACGAACCTTGCGAAAATGCGGCTCCTGCCACGGAATATGTACTTGACCCTGCGAAAATGCTGCCCTGCCACGAAATCTGTGCTTGACCTTGCGAAAATGCTGCCCCTGCCACGAAATCTGCACGCGCCGCCTGGCGCGTCCGTGCCAATGGGATTTGCGATGCGTCCGTGCCAGAAGTAAGAAAATGCTGCGCCTGCCACGAAATCTGTACTTGACCTTGCGAAAGTGCTGCGCCTGCCACGAAATCTGTACCCGACCTTGCCAAAATGATGCGCCTGCCACGAAATTCAAACCCTGCGAAACCTCCGTGTTGTTGTTACAGTGGGCCCCGCTCCGAGACCGTTCCGAACCTGCTCCGAGACCGTCGTCGGACAGGCGTCGCGACCGGGGTAGCTTTCAGCCAGCCGGAGAAGCCAAAACCCGCAGAGGGTTGCTCTTTTTCGCGATTTCTATTCCCCCGCCACGCGCGCACGCATGTTTTCTCGCATGCATCT